ACACGCACACACCCACGCGCATGCACCTGGCAAAATTGCTGTGCGATAACAAATTGGGACACCACATGCACAGGCACGTGAACATATATGTGTCCCAAAAGTGGTCCCCCGCAGCGCGGGAGGGGCGCCTCATGGGGTCAGCGAGCTACCCCGCTGACCGGCCAGAGGGGGGCAACCCGTGTTTGAAGGCACACGGGCAAGGCCTGCAACGTCTTGCCGAACTCTTGACTTGAACCTGCGGTACTGGGCAGGAGTGGCCAACAGCACCATAAGGGCACCTGTTAGGCATGCTCAAATGGCAGAGGTGCAGAGCTGCCATGTCATCTCACGGCAGAGAATATCATACCTGCAGCTTGCAGCAAAACTATACATGGAAAATTCTCTTGTGAGCAGCTTGCGAGGGTCAGCAGTCAAAGTCCTTGCACATACAAGCAGCACCTGCACTTGGGAAATGTTACCGCACTTGGCGCCGAGGAGCTGAATTTACCAGCAGTTTTATTTGAAAAGTATGTTCTATTAAATTGCACATTTGACGTAATCCACAACATCCGACCACACGAAGGCTTAGTCGTGCTTTGACCAGGTTCGGGCTCGCGATCCTCCACGCTAAAGGACTTCGAATTGAGCCTGTGCACCATGTATATTTATTTTTGTTGTTTAGTTGCCTGCTCGGGGTCGTTGGGGTCGCAGCGTTGCAAATGTCACCGCCACATCTCTGCACACAGCGCCGGCCACGCTACCGTACCGTAACGCTCGCCCCCCCCCTTTCAAAGCATTGTTGTTGGTAAAAGTTTGGAGAACTTGTGTCTGCTCTTGCCTTGTTCTGTTTTCAAAGCGCCCAAGCGGCATGTGATTATTCAAGAGGGAAGCCTGCCGGACGTGTTGTGGCGACTTCAGTTCCACCCATTACAATTGTACAAATTGAAGCTCTCGTCTTCATGACGCTTGCCTAGAAAAATGTTCAACCCTACATAATTTTCGCCGTGCTGGCCGGCTGGCGGGTGCACCCGCAACGTACGGCGCCTCGCAATGCAGCTGCTGGTCACATCCTGCTGGCCGCATTCTGTGCAGCGCGCTGGCTGGAGGTGTTAACATGGCTGACGTACGTAGGGCAGGGCACCCATGACGTGGAAAATGTGGGGGCGGCCGTCCCCGTCCCGGCCGTGTGCCAGCAACCAACTTCCAGGGATGGCCGCCGGCCCGCTGCGTGCAGGCGCGACTGGGTCGGAGCAACGTGACGGCGGCGGTGGCATTCCTCGATCGTGCAAGCGGCTGCTGTCACCTGCAGCCCGATAGCAGGCGCAGCTGCCTAGACGTGGTGAGGGAGGAGCAGCTAAAGGGGCGTGGCCACGCAGGGGCCATGGACTGTTCATGTGGTCGAGCTGAAGTACAATATGGATATGATTTAGACAAGGTTTATGACATATGTAGCTGAGAGCCAGCACCGCCTGCTCATAGAGCGGCTGTCCTGGGCCAACTCGCCCGCCTGCACATTATACCCCTTGGGGTCGCGGAGGGGATGCAGCAGGCCCCCAACCCACCTCTGTTGCAAATGGGAAGGGATTATTGGAAGGACCTGGCCGCGTGCGCCGCGGCCTGCATGGCAGTACTGTGTCACATTCACCGGGTCATCAACCCGCGCCGGGCACTGAGGGATCTGGGCTGAAGTGTAGGCGACAAGGCGCGCTCGCGGTGGCAAGGACGAGGCTGCCGCGGAATCCGAAACCCCTTGCTGTTACATGCACAGCCGCACGGGTTCCGCCTCTGTCCACTCGCAGTCATAGGCGCAAGGTGTGTGCGAGGAGACACCGTAAGGGGCAGGCTAAGGGCCTCACCTGAGGGCCCCCTCACCGCCCGACGGGGGCCCCGAGGTCCCCACACCGGCGGAGCAGCCGGGAAACACGCAGCTGCCATGACACTTGCGCTTGTTTTCAAAACATCTAGTTGCCCAGCACCCGGTCTACTCTCCTCTAATCTAGTCTTGTGCTGGTGACTGGCGCGGGGGGCGGCGCGGCGCGGGAGGCGTGGCAGGTTGGATGGCCGGATCATGAAGAGGTTAGCTTTCAACGCAGCAGGCAGGTCACATGCCTGGCGCAGGTACTGGGCGTGTTTGGCCTGTTGCTCGGTCTGGTCAGTTGGGCTGCGGAACCGGTCGTTGACGGGGTGGGTTTACTACGCTTCGGGGTCCTTCCATTTGGCAGGCGGGGGGAGGGGGGTGCAAAAGAGTTAGCGCCGGCGGCGGGGCGTGCCGGGGCCGGCGGGGGGCGCAGATAGGTTGTATGGAGCATGAGATTGAGACGGGCAGGGTCTGAGAGGGGATCAGCGGCCTGGGCCGCGCGCTTGTGTGTAGCGCCTCCGGGAGCGGTGCAGTTGACCAACGACTTTCGTGCAGGTGACAGGGCGGCGCGGGGTGCGCGGCAGGTTGAATGGCCGGATGATGAAGAGGTCGACTTGTCACGAAGCAGGACACATGCCTGGCGCAGGTGCTGAGCTGCGTACGGCACAAGATCACAGCACCGGGCAGCATTCTACAGTACACAGGCATGGCAAACACCGAGCAGGACGCTGTACAACACTTGAACCAGCAATTTCCTTGCAATCAGGTCGGAAGGCTGTGGCCGTTTGGCGCAGCGCCTGCGCTGCCCCGCGAGATTGGGGAGCGCGTGCGGCGCTTGCTGAATAGGACAGACCTGCCCGCCCTGCGGCTGACCAGCCGCGCGGCGAGGGTGTTCAGCGATGGCTGCGTGCATGGCGTCTGTGTGGAGCGCGTGGCGCATATCGTTGGCCTTGCCGCAGCTGCGCCCCGGCTGGCCGCGCTGCGCGAGCTCAGCGTCATGTCGCACTGCGCATCTGATGTCGCCGCGCTCGCCGCCGCGCTCCCAAGCCTGGGGCGGCACTGCCGTATTGTGACCCTTCAAGTCACCTATGCAGAAGCCAGCGGGCACGGCTGCCGGCGACGCTGCGGCAGCTGACTCATCTCGAGGTCCAAGTCGAGGACAGCTGTGAGCAGGGCAGCACGGCCGCCGCATGTCACGCGGCCTATGTCGCTGCAGCGGCGCAGCTGCCTTTGCTGGAGTGCCTGTGCATCCGCCAAGATTGTATAATTCCTTGCCACGTACTCTTTGACATGGCACTGCGCGTGGGAGCCTGGCCGCTGCTGCAGGTGGGCCGGGCGATGCGGGTCGAGCTCGGGGGGCTGGTGTCGATGTCTTGATGCACGCCTGTGTGGAACGCTGGTAGTGCGGTGCAGCTGCCGTCTGTGGCGCTTGCCTGCTGCAACGAGCGCGCCCTGCTCTGCCGCCCGCCACCGACGACAGGAGCTGACCCTCAGCCACGTCACCCGGTCAGAGCTCTGCGCCCTGGCGGCGCTCGAGATGCCGCGACTCACCGACCTGACTCTGCTGTACAGCAGCGGCCTCAGCCAAGTCACCATTGACGCTGCCGGTCGCAATGAAACTGGCATGCGGGCAATGGCGTGCGCCCCCTGGTTTGGCAGGCTGCGGTCGATCACCATCGACTGCGATGAGCCGCCCATCAGTGATGATTTTGCCGGCTGCGGCGCACCCTGCTTATGTTTTTTGGATTATCGCTGCAGCTATTTCAGCGACGCCGCGGCGGCGGTCCTTGGCCAGCTGGCTCTGCCGTCGCTGCGTGGGCTGCATCTGTTTGTGAGGTCGGCCATGTTGCCACCCTTCGCGCTAACGGCACGCGGCATGGCGGCGCTGCTTGCGGTCGAGGGGGTCACAAGCAGCCTGGAGGAGCTGTGCCTAACGCAGGACAGCAACAGCGAGGCGGACGCAGACGCTGTGGTGGCGGCGATCGCCTGCGCGCCTCTGGCAGCCCTGCGCAGCCTCGATTTGACTGACGGCCTGCACACGGACGCGTCCATAGCTTCGTTGGCGCGCGCCTGCTGGGCGCGACAGCTGTCGCGTCTCTATTTGATTTCCGTTGATGGCCGGTTCTACCAAAACGGGGCTGCTTGGAGGGCGCTGGCCGCCGCTCCCCTGGAGTCGCTGCAAGAACTTTACCTGCACTTCGCCCCCTGCATGTCGGCCGGGGTCGCGGCGCACCTCATGTCTGCGCCCTGGCTCGGCGGCTTGGAAAGACTCTACTTGATTGGCTTGAGCAGGGGCGCGTTTGAGGTGCTGCAGGCGAGCCCTGCATTCGCAAGCCTGCAAGCCATAAAAAAAGTTACTGTGTCTCAAGTGGAAAGAGAGCAGGCTGCGGTGGCACATGCGGTGGGCGCCGCGGATTGACACTGCTCTCCCGACATTGCTGACGACCAGGGGGCGTGGGCGGGGCAAATGGCCAGCGCGGGCCTCCTCGCCAGCCCCCGCCGCCTTGCTGTGCCGCAGGCGCTGCCCACCCGCCTGCCGGCTGCCACGCACCACCCTTGCTGTGCAGGCGCGAGCGCACAGTGGATGACCCTGTTCCACGCTATCGCATCCCTTGCATTCACCACGTGTGTGTCGTTAAGTGAGGACCCCTCCCTGAATGCTTGACCACCCTGACGTGCTTGTTTTGGGCTGTCTGGCCGATTGCTGCGCGCGTTCTCCCCCATCTGCATCTGTTATGCCGCGCCCGAGTCGCATGTAACAGGCATTCGCAGCCGTGCTGCGGCCCCCGAGGCAAAGTAGACCGCCGCTTTCCACGCGGCCGCTGATTTGCTGGGCACCACGGCTTGCAGCGGCTCCTGTCAGCGGAGCGCGTGTGCTGAGCCTGCGTCCCTCACCCCACATCGGCGCGACATCTGTGAGCCAAGGAGCTGTGGTGGGTCAGACGGTTGTACGGAGGGCTGAGGGCTTCAGGTGTGTGGACGACAGAGCGCAGGGCGCTGCAAAAAGGGGGCGCGTACTGCTTCAGCAGGCTATTTGGCCAGCCTGCAACAAACGAGGATGGGACTGATGAGCACGGCAGTGCGTACGCACGTCCACACACATCCGCGCGTTGACGGCTGCCTGAAGCTGTTGACTTGAAAGCAATGCAGCCTGGAGACAACTGATTGATGTCTCTGGCGAGACTGCCGTACAGACTGTAGCTAAAAATCATCTGGTAGGAACCCAGTTCAATGCCTGCACAGCACGTCGCTACCGACAGGGGTGGCGTGGAGTAAGGATTAGGATTAGGATTAGGATTGTTACAAGATCCCGCGGTCGCCCGCTCCTGGAGCCATCCAGGCTCATGGGATATGACTTGGCAGCATCAGCATTGTGTGACAGGGATTCAGGGGGCCACTGTTCGCCGTTCAAAGCAGGCGTGCACAAAGGCCCCGAGGGTATGCTGGTCCGCACTGCGCACAAGGGCGCGCATGCGGGCATGTGCAGGCAGGTCCGTAAACAAGGGTGCAAAGCACGGCGCGGCCCGCAGGTCCGCGTAGGCAGGGCAGTCGAGCAGGGCATGTTCAGCCGTTTCATCAAGGTCGCGGCCATCGCAGTGGGGGCAAAGGGTGGGGGTGTTGTAATGCAGTGTTGGCGACGCTGCAAAGGGGGGAGAGCAGCAGCGCAGGCGCATGAGCGCCCGT